CCGGCCCCATCCCCATCCCCATCCCCGCCGCAGACGCCCGCTGAACCTGCCCGGGCGGCGCCCGTGTCGGAGGAGCGCGCCGCGCTCGCGGTGGTGACGCTGAGAGGTGGCCTTTATCTCGCAGAGGCCGCTGCACCATCATGTGCTGCCGCGTGTGCCCTGGGGCACGATGAGCCGCAGCCCGTGCCGCCCAGCGGGAGCCCCTCGAGCCGCTCGTCTGCAGGGAGCAGAGGGAAGAGTGAATGGGAACTTGGCGCTTTAGCAGAGCGCTAGGGGCCAGGCCAGGCAACGAGCTAAGGTAAGGACTGGGCGTCTGCTTCGTCTCTATCGGGCTTATCTGTGCTTTAATATCGTATTTGGACACGTAGGACTGGTGCCTCCTGCTCTCGGGAGGTTTAATCCTGCCCTGTGTGCTCCTTGGGGCAGGGATATGGTGGTATTGCTGGATGCAGTTTGACAGATACTCCTGAAGTATGAAACTGGTCGCCTACCTGTAAACGCTTTGAGCCCACTTTGATTTAGTATCTGAAAGCTGAACAGGTGAGTGCCTTACAAAAAATGGAACATTAATTAAAAAGCCTGTATGAATAGACAGCCTCAAGTAGACATAAATGCTTTTAAAATAAAACTTCAGGTGTGGCTCACATTTAATACTTTCCGTGGTGGAGATATCAATATTTGGGTTGCAAAACTGCTTACTGTAGCTTTCCAATGGCGAAGTTTTGTTGAATAGCGGAAGTGTTTTAGGTTTAGAAGATGTTTTTGATATTCTTCCTCTTATAACACTTTCTTGAATCTAAGGAATTAATAATATATATTATTAATAATATAAAAATACAAATAGTAAGGATCCCAACTAACATGCAACGTTATGCTAACGAGTAATCCTGTTTAATGGAACTGTTCATGTAAATGCTTTCTGGAGTAAAACCAATTACTCTTGGACCCGATCATCCTTTAAGATGGATTCGCTGTTTAAAATAAACCATTTACAAAGAAGAGTTGGCACAGGCTCCCTAGATTAAAAAAAAAAATCATGCCCTTAGTCTTCAAACGAGTATTGGGTGTGTAAAACTGTTAGAACATTTCTGTCTGGGCAAGAGGCAATAAAAGGTTGCAGCGGTGGTTGAGTTGCTCTCTCTGCCACTACTCACAAGCATAAACAGCAGCGCCATCTTCTTAATTAGAGGCTTTCAGGCAGGGTTGAACTCCTTGCCAACAGGGATTCTAAGAAGATCAAAATACTAATGGTGTTTCTGATAATAAGGTTTCAAGGCCCGTGTTGTGCTTCAATTGAAGCAATAAAAAGCTTATGTAAATCTCTGGATACCTGAACACACTTATGTTACAAAAAAAAAATCCCAGTGGCATTAAAATAACTATTTGGAACATGAAGCTTAGCTAGTCAGTCTAAGTCTTTGTACCTTTGGGAAACGTATTCCAGTTCAGATTAAACTTCTATCAATTAGGTATTTTTGAAGACATTTGGAGAATATTTTTTCTCCCTTGATGGAAAATAGCTGATTTGCAAAGTTCTGGATTTCATTTGCTGACTCTCCTCTCTCTGTGCTAGAGGAAAGATCCAGCGGGAGCAGTTCAGTTGCTGGAGTGCGTGGAGTGAGACAGTCTCCCCTGGGGATGCTCACCCACGCCACTGGGGAGAACAGATATCACCGGTTCTCAGCGAGATGGCTGTTCCCTGCAGTAGCTGTTGGGATTTTCACGAGCACTTCTGCAGAGAACATTTTAATGGCATTGACTGGAACAGAAGCGTGGTTATTGTTGGCAAGGTTCACACCGCAAAAGGCCTCTGCTTCTTAGCCAGAGGAAAATAACTGATAAGCGTTTACTTTTATGTTATGATTGAGCAAGTTACAGATTTGGAATAACCGTTAAACTGAAAATGATTCTCAAATTTATTCCCTAAAGCAAAGGGACTACTATGCATTTAGCCTAATTAGCCCAGATGGCTCATGACACACATAGCACAGACTAAGCTAAGTGCCACGGGAGAACTGAATATTCCAGATTCTTTTGGCTCAAATCATATGTCATTTGAGCTGGGATTCAGAAGCCTAAGACTGACAAGTCTCTCACTGGAATGTTAGCATGCATGATACTTCATCTCAGTTTCTTTTTGTGAATTTTATTAGAGATGTGTGTTACTTAAATAGTTTATTTTGATTTTATAAAAATGCACGTATTTTATAGATTAGCTGCTCAGTGATTTTTGAGGGATAACGTGGATTTTAATTGCACCTTCAGCTCACTAAGGCAAGTTGCTCAGCGGAGAGATGGAAACTTCTCAAGGCCAAAGCTACTACCATTTGTAGTGGGAGACTTTGAGGAAAGGAGCAGAATCTTTTATCCTGTATGGCCTCATCTGTTAGTAAACAGAGTTTATGCAAAAAGCTGATCCCTCTTAGTGTAACTGGGTCTCTCGGCCAGGAAAGCTCTCTGAAATGGTAGTGTGTGAAAATAAGACCTTACAGTAAAGAAGCTTGAGCTAGTTAATCAACAGAACAAAGGTATTTGGCTTCTTGTAAATTCAGGAAAAATATGAGTGCAGACCATCTCTATGTAATTCAGTAAGCTAATATAGGAGAAACTGATACTGTGGAGAAACTGTCACTTGTAAGTAAACATCTTAATTTCTGTTTTATATTGTTTTTTTCTTTTCTTGAAACCATCATTGCTGAATGCATGCAGATCTTCAAAGCTAGTAAGAAAATGATCAGATTCAAAATCTGATCAGAAAATGAGCAAGAAAATAAAATGCTTAAATATATGTGTAGAAAGCTCAAAGTCTATGGTTAAAACTTCTGGTATTTGTTATGCTGTGACAAGTGTACAGTATTCTTGTGTAGGACAAGAATATTTTTTCAGAGGGCTTGTTTTTGAGATTTTGAACTAACTTACAGCAGAAATATCCAGAATTGGAGCTGCTGATGTCCAACATTATTAAAGTGAAATTGAATAGCGAGGAAGCGACACTAGGAAACTGTGGTTCAAAGTAAGCAAGTTTCAACTGAAAGTTCAAACATATTAGCATGTGTTACAGTATTTTTGTTGAGAAGGAATGTTGATGAGAAGTCAAGCTTGATTTCATAGAAAATAAATAATTCTGTGTCTTCTTGAAAACACATAGGTACAAATCAAAGTTGGAGCCAAGAGTGTTGGAATCAGTGGCCAATTCTTGCAGTTCAGGGAGATGACAGATATTAACAAAACTGACATATTCACAAGTGGCCTTGCAGCTGGGACAAACAGTGAGCTGGCAAAATTTTCTCATGATAAAGCTCTTCATAGTGTTCAGATAGGAGCACTCTGTAAAAAGTTGCAGAAAAACCTTATGTGGCTAGTGACTGCGTATGACGTGGCATATGAAACATACTGCAAATACATGTTGTGATATACACATGGGAGATAAAAATAACTCTAGCTTTGCATATAAAGCAGGCTGAGAGTTGAGTATTGCCACTCTGGAATCTTTTTTTTTTTTTTTTTTTTTTTTTCTTTTTGGATTATTTTAGACTTGAATGTATAAACTTGGTGTTTAGTTGTGTTTAGAGTGGAAAATAAAGGATGAAACATCATTATGCCATTCTATAAATTCACTTGTGTCTGTATCTGGGGCCGATAACTGCAGGTGTCCCTGTTAAGTGTCACAGATATTCTGAAGTAATATATTTAATTTTTTATGTTAAGAATTTGATAAGATTCAGGAAAAAAAGAGTTTAAAGAAAAATAAATCTGAGGTGGTATGATAAGATTTTAGGCGTGAAGTGACCAAGTTGACTTGAGACTTGTAAGCCTGGTAAAGACAAGACTTACGATGGAGGTATAAAGATGATATGTGTTATGGGAAGTATGAATATGGATCTGACTGTTTGTGATCCCCTCCAATACGAGGAGTCCAACAAATGAAATAAATAGACTTTCAAAGAGTGTGTGGAGCTCTTTGCCTGAGGCTGTCTTGGATGCAAGAAGTCTGTGGGCCCAGGGAGAGGCTTGACAAAGACAGAAGCCTTTTGAGGGTTACTAAATAAATGACATCAGGTTGAACAAATTACATGGAGTGGGAAAGTAACATATGCTTACTCTGTTCTTCCGCTTCCCTCTGTATCATCCTCAGGCTACAACAGTAGACAATATGACCCTTTGTAAATCCCCTTTAAAATAAGACTGACTGCTGGAGTGGGATGGCTGATCTAGAGAAATAATTCACTGAATTATTTCTGAATCGCTACAATCTATATATACAGAGAAATGTGTTTATTTATATAATGTTTCAGGCTCATCCAGGACTCACCTGCTTTCTTCGTGGGAGAAGTTTTAAACATTTCCTTTCCCAGTCCGTTTTCTAGGCTTCTTTAATCCTGCAGTGGCTGACATAATAGGATTTTTTTTCTTTCCTTTGTTAATCTGCAGCAATATTCTGAGATGTTATTGTCTCAAGGTCACGATCCCTTAATAGAGCTAAACTTGCTTGAAATGGCATTGACAACATGTAGAAAAAAATTCCTAGTGCTATTTTCTTTTGTATGCCTATTGCTTCACTTTTTCTAGTCTTGCTCAGTTGTCACCTGTGAACAGGTGTTAGGGCCTACGGAAGAGATGTCAATACCAGTCAGTCCTATGCATTACATGGTGCCTTCTTCAATTACCCGTGCTTGCCATTCACTTATACATAAACTTACATATATAACTGGGGTGCTTACTCAAGCCTCAGTAGAAAGAGTACATATGAATGGAGCAAAAAATATTCTGATCTATTCATTGCTTTGTTGCAGACTTTAATGGAAATTGCAGACTTTGATACCCACTTAGATAAAATTGTTCAGCAGAGACCCATATTAACATTATTGCTTCTGTTAGTCACATTATCAGTACAACAATATATTGAGCAATGTCTGTTTGTACACACAAGGTTTTTGCTTCAGATGGGTCAATATTATTGTTTGGAGAAGATGAATCAGATGAACAAACAAGGTAGAGCAAGAAGTGAACAAGATGAGAATTTAGAGAGGGCTGTTTCTGTGTGCAGTCGGCTGTATCCATAGCTTCACCTGGTTTCCAGCTTGCCCATTTTATCAGCAAGAGAATCTTTTTTACGTATAACCTTGTTAAATAAAGAGCAGTACTTGGAAGCTGACTTTTTCAAGTCATGACTGAAGTTGTATTTTATATGAGAGCTAGCCACAGTATTGCAAATGAGAGTAGGTGCATTTGAATCATTTGTTAACAGTCAAAGTTTTTAAGGGAAAATGGCTGCTCTTTATGAACTTCCTTGCTGAT